TGTTTGTTTAACGAACTATTTTCACATACCATGAACCACCCAACTTTCATAATAATCACAGCGGGGGATTTGGCATCGACTTCATTTTCATTTCAATAATTAATTAATTAAAGACCTCTACAGTTCTTCTTTAGCTGAAGGTCTGATGGTCTGATAATGAAGAATGCTTCATTTAATTAAAACTAATGCATATTGCAAAGTTCGATTTAGAAATATTCAACTTTGTTTCCGTTTCATTTTTGTAATTTCTTGAAGATTGGAGCTGTTTTAATACCAATTCGAGTGTTATGCACTGCCGAAATATATATAGATTTCACTACTAACAACTCGATATGAAAACGTGTGAAATTTAGAATGTCTCAGGCCTAAATATTTTTCAACCTACACATACAGCAGAGCATTAGCGGATGAACTCGCAGATTCTCATAAAAAACGTTAGCACTTTCATTTGAAGAAAAAAATTGAAATATCACCGAATAGTAATTAAAATTAATTAAGACAATTTCTTTCCACCCGGACTAAAATGAAAGAAGGCAGTAAATAATTTCTTTATAGTCAATCTGCGCAGGATTAGGTACAGAATAAAGCTTTCAAATATTACAGCACCGCGCCTCCGGGGTTAACTGTCGCTCATAATTTGAATGAGTACGGTTCGAATATTTCGTTCCCCGGTCTAAAACATTTAAGTCCGCGGAAAAGGCGCTGCTATCGAAATTAAACGGAATCGTTTCGAAATTATACCGCGAGGCCTGGGATATTTGTAAACGCAAACCCTACGAAACGTCAAAAGCTTCGACTCGTTACACCACTGAAATACGGAATTAATTGGCACATTTGCAGCTGAGAAAACAACTGCATTAATGAGTCTCCCGGTTACGGTTTTACCAAGCCGGAAAAACAACAGACGATATCGCCGCCACCATTGTTTGGCTTTGTCTTTTCTTAAATAAATTCAAATCACTGTTTGCTTTAAACAAAAATTTTAATCGACTGATAAAGCGACAGTTTTTTTGCTCTGTGTTATTGGAAAAATTTTAAACGTATTACTTTAGAAATAGATACAGCGTGGTTCACGGAAGACGACCGAACATCCGATCTGAGAAATGGTAAGATTTACAAGAAAAAGTTAATACAAAAGTATCTTATACTGATTAAAACTTCTGAAGTGTATAAAGAGAGTTTTTTTCTGCAGATACAAACTTTTTGTTTGAAACTAAACACCCTGTAAATTGAAACACATTCGGAGAGTGCGCTTCAAGACGAGTTCAACAATATTTTCAACGCCGTTCTGACATAAACACAAACCGTCATTGCGATATGTATTTGACATATTTGACAAATAAAACAATAAAGAGTTCCGTTTTGTAAATTTATTTAATTGTATTGAACGGGGAACACTATACATTACTTTACAGTTCTATTTAGCATTAAAAGACAGTTTCAACAATATATAATAATGAAGGTTCAAAATAAACATATCCTAATGATTGACCATCATACTGAATGAGTAAAAACTTAGGGAATTTTTATTGCGAAAAATCAAAAAGAGAAAAATAGCAGTTAATGCTTTTCGACTTTGTTTACTATTGTACTTATAAGTGGTCAAATTAAGTTAAGTTGACAGGTAAACTAATTTTAATATACTTATTTGCAGTTGAAAATTCAAATTCAAATTGTCTTTTAAAATAAAAATATTTTAATGGCTTAGAATTAATATCCAATTACATATAGGGTAATGCTACAAGCATCTGACCCTAGAATATTTTTCATTTTTAGGCTATTGTAAAAGCTCATGTGATTTGTTGTTGTTTGTCAATAAAGCGGTGTCATCTGCGAAATGAATATTGGTTATTGGTTCTTTAGAAACCTTGGTCTTGTTTTCAAATGCCCTCTGAAAAATATACTCAACATAAATATTAAACATTGTAGGTGACAACAAACATATAAATTTCTGCCTATTCCATAACAACGATGCATTCGAGTCGCTCCAGACTCTTGCCGAATTAGTTTTAGTCAAATGAAGCAGTATGCTCCTAATAATCATCTCAGGTTTTCGGGCGCTCAGAACTCGCTCTGCTTACTTACAAAATACGACATTCAATTAATTACCGGAGGTCAAGTCGATTATATGAGCATTTCCGTTCGGACGAGAAACGGAATACTACTTTTAGTCGATGAATAGGAGTTCGAAAACTATATACATCAGTCATTTCAAAGAGGCAACTGCGAAATCCTAAATTTAATCTTTCACATTTTAATGCACCACAATAAATTAAAGCACTTTCCGAAACTGTAATTTCCAATGGACAATAATGGCTTAACGTCACGCCATTTTTGTTTATTACATGGCGATCTAATTGTAAGCCAGTTTAGCGTATTTCAATTGCATTTTCGTGAAATACAATTTAGTTTTCTTAATTCGCGATGTTTAACCATTACCTGTAATAAATAACTATATACAAATATGCGGTTTGCTACTGGAACCTGATTGCTATGAAAAATTGATAACGGTTGCGGGTTGCTAATCACCGCCTGATGATTAGGAACGTGGGGCATATTTCTGGGAATTTAATAATGCAATATTTAATGCAATCTCCATTCCTAGTTCGTGAAATATAACACGCACACCTGAGGCAAATCATTTGTTTAAGTAATAAATCTTAATTGATCTATATTTAAAGTTATTGATGCTAATTGAGAACAAAATGGGCCTCAAAGCCGTTTCTTGTGAGACACCGCAGCAATTTGTCTAAACCCAAGTCAATTTATAAGGAGCAAAAACCAACCTAACCTAAATATGATGGCACTCAGGTTTGGCGTCTAGGTATGAAACTGGCTTATTTCATGCTATTTATATGTATGTCCTGATGTACTAAATATTTCATCAATTTATTTGAGTGAACTAAAAATCAATAAAAGCAATCGGTCAAACAATATATGACAATCAAAACACCAATATCGTGAGAAATACTTACAAAATTAAAGTTTAGCACATAGTTTCCCAAAACAATACTCTACAGTTAAGATAAATAAAAATAAATTAAGCGACCTAACGACAGTCTACATTTCTGTATAATTGTAGACCACCAATAACGAGGAAACGCGAATAAAATAATTGGTAGCCGAATATTATGTTATCTATTGTTAAAGAGGGAAATCTTACAGTATATAATGCTTATTTGCTGTGTGTATCAGACTTATAGTTAATTGAATTTTTGTTTTTGTTGATATGGCACATTTCAAGAAACAAACGGCCTTTATAATTCTTGACACGTTGCAATATTTTGGGATTGTTATAGTCAAATTCATGTCCTTCCTTTATGCACAAGCATTTTTATGAATACGACAACCCAAAAACGACAATTGATACATGACATTAGAGTTGCATAATAGGGGAGTTAGACCTTTGACTTTAGAATAAAGTTTTGAGACTTTTTCAGTTTTATATTTGGCAATTTTTATTTCTATGAATTCTTTGAAAATTTATGAATTTTTTAATGTAAGGCAAAACATCCGAACGCCGAATGTTGCAGTTATTGATTAATCTCGTAAGTATATGTTTTAGGTATCCATTATTTTTGTAGGTTTTCTTGAGCAAAAGTTTCTTGGCTGAAATGTGTAACTCTGTTATTTATGCCTATAATGGATGAGAGGAATAATAATTGATAAATCTACCTGAGGCTGTTTCTTTCTGGTACCAATCCAAAATAATTTCATTTTTGTTAGTTCTAATAACCTTAGTGTCTAAGAAGACAAGTTCAATTGTGAATTGTGGCGTTGGAAGAATTAAAAATATTCAAGGTTATATCTGTTATATATTTGGTACCACGCAAAAAAGATCGTCAACATATGTAAAAATAAAGGGTAAATTGAAAAGTAATTTGGTTATAATTTGATCAAGTAAATGGCCCAATACTGTAGTAGCGATTATTGGATTGCCATTGGGATACCATAAATTTGTTTATAAAATTACGAATTAAAATTATTTCAGTTTTACCAATTCGAGCGGAATATTAATAAACAGCGATACCACATCTAATGAAATCAAAACATAATTGTCAGGTAGTACCTAACCGTTGATCATGTTGGCAAAGGTAAATGAATATTTATATTATAGTCATTTCTATTTGCAAAAGCAGTTTTAAGAATATTAGCCATAAATCTCGATATGTTGTACGTAACAAAGTCGATCGAGCTAACTCTAGTCGCAGAAGAATATCTGTTTTATGGATCTTGCACAAACAGTACAACTTTGGAAAGGATGAATTATAGAACAATGGTTGTTTACATTCGCTGTCATTGTTTTTTGAATGTTGTTTTATCCATAGCAAAAGTAAAACTCCCCCTTGCCAGCCTGCAATTGTCCTCATAATATCTTTTGAATTGAAAAACCTTGTTGTACATGAGTTCTAATCTACTATTGAATTCTTATATAAAATTGATACATATCATGTTATATTTATAGATTGTTTTATATTATGGATTAATTTGTTAATTTTCGAAATAATGTTCCAAGTCGTTTTTATTTCAAGTGACAATATTTTCAAACTGATGTCAGATATAAACCTGTCTACCCTGTTTGCTGTCGATACGTCGTTACGAATAATTATGGATGTTTTTTCCACTCTCTTGAATGTGTCTAGGTGTCAATCTCTTCTATTAATGCTTCTTGCTAAACTTATCTTCAAATTTGCCGACTGGTTGATCAACTGTACGGAGTGAATACCATAGAGTTGTCCAATCACTTGATAAAAACGCATCATCAATGTTAACACTTATAATAACACAACTTTTGCCTACCATTATTCAAAATTGTGGACTGAATGTTTGTCTGTTTGTTTCGTTATGTTGCTTCATTAAATCTTAACTGTAGAGTATTGTGTTGAAGAACAATGTTATAAACACTATTTTTTTTAAGTATTTGTCGCGATATATGTTGTTTTCATTGACTTTCAGATCACTCCTGAAGAAGTCAACAAATAAATTGACGAAATGTTAAGTATTAAAGAAAATAACAATAATAATCAGAATGTATTACAATTCATGAGCCTGTTTTATCGTATTGATAAATTGCTGCATATCGCAGGAGTATTCTGTTGTTTTACCACTTTGTTAAGAAACGTTATCTTTCTGAAGGTCTTAGGAGATTCAAGAAAATGAAAAAAAATAGGGGCATAATGAATTATTGGATGTAATTTAATGTAGGTTCATACAAAAACTATTGTTTTTACTAAACTTTTCATTAAAACTGAGGTGTATCATTTCGATACATTGCGACAGCATTTCTATAAAAGAAGTTTACGACTGATTAATGGTTAGATGATATTTGTGGGGTATATAATGATTTTAAGAAATGCAAGTAAACTTTTAGCAATATTTATGTAATTTATCGTTCTGCACAAAACAAAATACAACCACATTAGTATGCAAATCCAGCTGTCGAGTAAATATTAAAAATCTTAACGAGTGCGTTGGCATAACCTGCCAACCTAAAATCTATACCCAAGTCAAGTTGCAATGCTGTATCTTGAATGGCGCGTGATGATCGTTCCATAGTAAATGACAATCCGGAATGAACTATATCCTTCTCGGATGCTCCAGCTATTCTAGTTCTAAACGCCTTTGACGGATGTATGGGAATATCCTTACCCAGGGCGTTTTGGAGAGACTCCTGAACTGACTGCAACAGGTGGTAGTTTGACTCTCTCTCATACTTAAACGTAAGCCTTCCATAAGAAACATGGTTTATATTCTTTAACCATTCAAAATATGACACCGTAACACCGCCAGCGTTCGCCAAAAGATCTGGAATTACGATTATTTTTTTCTTACGCAGAATGGTGTCTGCGGCTGGAGTGGTAGGGCCATTAGCCCCCTCCGCGATCACTTTGGCTTTTATGTTAACCGCATTGTCTTTGGTTATCACTTGTTCTACCGCGGCCGGTACCAGTATGTCACATTCGTGAGTCATAAGATCGCCATCAAACTTCTGAGCCCCTGGAAAACCCATTATGGTGCCTTTACTCAGTTTATATTCTTCCAGTTCGGAAGGGTTGATTCCATTCTCGTTGAATATAGATCCGTCCTCCTCAATTATTCCGATACATTTGGCACCCACTCTGTGGAAGTATCGGTGAGTATGGGAACCCACGTTCCCGTAACCCTGTATAATTAACGTTTTATCTTTTAGTCCTGGTTTCAAGCCGACATAATCCATGTAACATTCGTTATTAACGAAATGCTCGGTGGCGTGGAACAATCCCCGACCAGTAGCGGACTCTCTCCCGTGAATACCTCCTTGATTGATAGGCTTTCCGGTGACACACGCATGAGCGTTCATGTCTTTGTAACCCAAAGTTTTTGCGTAAGTATCTGACATCCACGACATCTCGCGAGCTCCCGTACCCATGTCAGGTGCCGGCACATCAATAGCTGGTCCCAGAAAACCTTTCTTGATTAGCTCGAGGCTAAACCTTCTAGTAATTCTCTCCAACTCCAGCTGGGAATACTTTCTCGGATCAATTTTAACGCCCGCTTTAGCCCCTCCAAATGGCACATCAACAGCTGCACACTTGAAGGTCATTATCGTAGATAAAGCGCGGACTTCGTCAGCGCACACGTCCATTGAATACCGCATACCGCCTTTGCAAGGCAACTTGTGCGCGCTGTGTTGAGCCCGGTAACCTTCAATAACCTCGTACTGTCCATTATCTCGCTTAATCGGGAAGGAAACGGCAAGCATTCCCTCGCAGGACGATATCTGATTAAATATTCCTTTCACTTTGGCTTGTCTTTGTTCCTTTGTCTCCTTATTTCCCCTGATTTTACCCAAATCCTCCACCAGTTTGTCCTCTACAAGAATACACGCCTTGTGAAAAAAATAGTCCACCATGTCCGAAAATTTGGGTTTTGGATTTTCTTCAATGTCTTTGAGATGATCGGGGATTTCATGTTTGTAGCGAAATTGATATGCCCCCGTCGCTTTTCGAGAGATAAATTGTTTTATAGTACAAAGTTTCGACATATGTTTAAGCATATTTGACAATTCACTTTTTTGTGAAGTATTGGCTGTCATACAGCCCTAAGCAATTTTGAATTGTTGCAACAATCAACTTGTCATCGAAGGTTTAAGACCAAACAATTAACTCTAGAGGATGAAAGTTGGATGAATGGAGAAATAGTTTGGTTACTATTTACAAATCTTCTAGATTCCTCTTGGTTCGGTTGTTGATGAATCGAACTTGCTGAAGAAGCCAACAGGATGATTGGTGAGGAATCCAGAAGATTTTTCGAACTTTCTTTGAAAAAATAAATAGTTCCGTTGTTATCAACTGATGAACATGCGATGACAGCCCTGGACAGTTCACTTTTTGTGGTGTAATTGGGGTTAGTATAATTGATTTTCGATTCCTAAACAGTACCCACCTTGACATTCCCGAAAATTTCTGTGTTCTCAATAATATTTTGCTTGGCTCCGATCATTTTCTCATCTGTACAACCCTTAATATTACATGTCTGGCCTTGTCCGGACTCTATCGTCAGCATCTGTATTTTTTTGAGAGATCTGTTTTCAATCCCGAGGTGTCATTGCATTCCTTTCGAGTTAGTCCTTTTTTTGCAGACATCTCGCTATACGAAATTAAATCCGTTCTTAGAAAAAATAGTATCTCCTGAGTTATTCCTTATGATTTCTTTCAGAACTTGCCACAAAACTGGCTCTTATAACGTTGCTCCCTTTTTTCTAATATCTTAATTAAAACTAAAGTACCCTCGAGCTTGTGCGACACAATTGCTTTGGTGAAACGGTAGTGAAGGTATTTGCTAGCATACTCTTTAGAAGGCTTATGACATGGAGAGTCTGCTGTCCGGCTTTCGCGAAGAAATTGGTTATATTGACAACATTTATACTCTACTGACTGACTTCCTAAAGCAACAGGATGCGCGTATCAATCGACACCACCAACGAACTTCTTATTCTGCTCTATGCTGATGACATCATTATACTTGGTGTCTCTTAAACAAATTAGAAGTCTCTCTGAAAAACTAAAACGATTTCATTTAAGCGAGGTAGACCAAATCGAAAGATGCTTTTTTCTAAATAACAATCTTTTGAAGAAGTTAATCGACATAATTCTGTTCTTCTTAATTTTTTAGAGAAATGGCAAAATCTTCTGTAACCATAGTTCCTGCTCTTAGCATAAAAATTAAACTTATCTCCTGGACAGCATTAATGCGGGTTTCTATTAGTACCATTTTTAGTTGTTTTTCTAGTAACATTGCTGTCTGGGGTTTACGTTATTCTGATATTACTGAAAAAGCCAAATATAACTTCTTCAAACGATTATTAATGTTGATGAAATCCACTTCTTCTGCTCTCTTGCGATTGGAATATTGTAATTTAAACTTAAAATGTGTCTAAACTTTCTCATCAAGTTGCTTACAATGGACACCCACAAACACCCAAAGTAACGCTATATTAATATAAGTAGATTGGGCAAGTGGGCTGATTTATGAACTTGGATTTTCTTATCTGTGACAAAATCTAAGTCTAAAACGCACTTTACCTAACATCCTTATTAAATACAAAGAAATTTGCTTTCAGACTGATCTCGAAGTTCTCACGATATTATGTTTAACAATTAGTGCCTGTTTTCTAAAATTTCTTAGCTGTAATTTACCACTCCACACAACCAGGATTCTAGGTCAACTTAGACTAACGAATAATCATTTCACAAAACTCACGTGTAAAGGTTTGTCATATAAATTCAACCATAATCTCCACGAAAACGAAACTCTATTTCACGTAAGAATAACGAAGTAAGAATTATCCTGTTTAAAGGTGTGGAGAAACTGAATAATCTTACACCTAGAACCTGGGTTGAACAGCATTCTAAAACTTTCTTATTAATAATTTTTTTTTAACGGTTTTCAGCAAAAATATTTTAGAAATCAGATTAAATCTTTTTATTATTAATCTCTATTTTTCATTTTTCAAAGAAACTTCCACGGGCTACTACTACTACTACTACTTCGCAGGAGGAATCCAGAAGTTTTATAAAAAGTAATGTTTATTTTTAAATTTAATATATAATTTAATAAAGATAGTATAGCACAAGTTTTTTATGTATACTGATTTCTTGTCTACTTTCTTTGTATCTTATGTGTAATTCCATAAAAGTTGATGTTAATAAAGCAATTTCCGCTAATAGATATCAATGAAACAACACGAAAATTCACCTAAAAATGTAGTTCAGGGCCATATTATGGTTTAATAAATATAAAATTTTCTGGTGATGAAATTTTCTGTACGAACCGTAGGCAAATATCAAAGTGACGATATATAGTGTTTTAAGAGTGATGAAAGAACTAAATTAAATTGAAAACAAAATCAGGTCCGCATTTCAAAAAATTTATATTTTATGATGGTTGCCAGAAGCCGAAACGTCAGATTCAATATTTAATCATACCGAGTTATAGATCAGAAAAAGTGGCCATGAAAATGTGTTTGTCATTTGAAATTATGTTAACAAACAGAACCAGTAGACAATAGAAACCAAAATTCAAAATTCCGGTTTTTTTCCAATATTTCTAATTTTTTTTAAATGCAAAACGGCATTTTATCGAGCAACAAATTGCGCAACTTTGCCTCCATTTAACCGATTCTGTATCTCTTCGAATTTCCGAAATCCCAATGATGAGCGTCGAATTTGAGCCATCCTGTACATCTAAAAACAGCGCAAATCTTTTGTATAGCCACCTCTAGCGTCCACCATTATGCAGTCTTCGTGGTAACTAAAGCTTTATTCGTTCGTGAAGAAAATGGTTTCACGCTCGTGCAACATTTACGTTGCAACCTATTTGATGATATAGTGATCCTACAGGCGACTTTGATATTTTCGTAGAGGAGGAACTGATTTTCGGCACATCATTAACCTGAACTTTGTGCCATTCTCTTTTTAAACAGCAATTTTCCCGATTTTAATGAGATCTAGGCATATTTTAAGAAAATACAGCCTCAAGGAAGCCGCATTCAAACTTGCCGCAAGGTCAATGGCTATAAATCAGATTTTAAATGGACCTTCTCAAAATTTCTATAGTACCTATATGACAAAAACATAAATAAAATATAATCTCTCGTCACATAATGTTCTTGATAGATAAACGCCGTGAGTTTTCTTTCTTTTTGGCAACCCAAACTTTATTTGCTTTGTGAAGCAAATGTTTTTAAAAGCGGCTTCCCGCCCGTAAAATATTTAAGTTGCATAAAAATATAAATAAAATATAATACCTCGTATCCACTTTGAATCGGCAAATTAATAACATAATAATATAAAATATCGTCACAAATTTTTTTTGCTGGATAAACACAACGGTTTTCCTCTCGTTTGGACTAAAATGTTACACCGCCTAATAAGCGATGAGCTGTCACAGACCTCTTCGATTCGATCACCTGTCAATTGTGAACGTTTCGTGACAACCACGTTTCTATAAACAAAAAAAGTAGACGCCAATTTCCAGTTGATTAATATTCCTGCGGCAACGCTTCCGATATCAGTTTCTCGATGGACTTGCAAGACAAGCACAAAAAAACCGCCAAAAGGCAATTCGAGGTGTATTTAGAATTCGCCAGGAGGCACAACATACTCAGAATGAACTGGGTTTATCAGCGAAGTCACTTGAATGAATTGAATGAAGTTTGGGCCAGGATGTGCACGGAGCTAAATAAGTCCAATGGACCTGTCAGGGACGTATCTCATTGGAAAAAGGTAAATCGGATTTAAATAGTTGACAGTTAGAGAGAGTAGATAAAATTCGTACCCAAATTAATATTGGATAGGTATTAAATGCATTTGACAGTATGATGATGAGAATTTCAAAATAATTTGAAGCAGCTGCTTTAGATAGTTCACATATTTTTTACCGTACATATTATGGCTGTAACGGTAAAATAATTTATGTACTAAAATTCAGATTTTACAGGAAATCAAAAAACTGTTTCTTAGGAAACGCTTATTTAAGTTAAGTTACTGTGAACAAATTATAGCGGTTTTTAAACAGTTGATTTAAGCCAATCTTACCAATTTTTTTTATTTTATCTTTCGACTATTATCCTGAAAGTTGTGGTGAAGTTCTTTACATCTTGCAAGCTTTACAATTTGATCTACTTTTTTTTATATATCTTTCATCGTTATAGCTAAGCTGGTTTTGGGTTTGAATTTAGTTTTTGTTGTCCTTTGTGGTAACATAGAATAGGCACAAGCAGAGCATAGGTCCAATAGTCATGTAGATTGGAACCCAAATTCTTCCAATTCAGGTCAGTATTAGTCTGGACATAATATCTGCCTAAAAAATTTATATTTTATTGGCTGCTATATGGATAGTTATAGAAACAAAGTTATAATTTATGCTTTATTTTTTAACTGCTACGGCGCCGAATTTTAAGGGTTAGAATATCAAATATAGGATGATCGATTAGAATATAGAATTTCTTGTATTTTTTTGCTACTTTGGTATTATTACAGTAGCCAAAAACATGGTTTTCTTAAAAATGCACACATAGAAGGGTTTTGCCAGATAACTTTATAGATTTTGATCTCTTCTTTCCCCCAGCGCTGAATCCATCTAATTAGCAAAGGGTTAATGGCAAGTGAGTTTGCTGCATATATATGTTAATATCATTAATAATAATAAATAATCTATTTTACCTTTTTCTTGTTGCGCGCAATTTCTAGAATAATAACTAAACCTCAACATTTTAACTAAAAGGTTGCATTGCATATTTCGCTAGCATAATATTGGTGATGTTTGTAGGTGTTTACAGAATGGAAATCCCATACCCGAAGAAAGGTGAAGACGAACAAGTGTCTAAGCGACATCGAAAAGCAATTATTAGAGGTGATGAAGCTCTCCATTTTCGATAATCCGAAGAGCCCAACAGGAAATGGATTGACTCGTTTTGTGAGCGTTTTTATTACGAAATGTACGTTTGAACAATTTTACAATGATTTATTTTGCAGCATTTCATGGAGAAAGAGGAGTCCAAACCAGTGGTGAACCACAATCTGCGTCCCTCGATCAGAGGCAAGCCATCGATTGTCATTGTGCGTTCCAAGCTATAGCTAATTTTGAAGTTAATATTGATATGGTCGTAATGTTTAGTTACAGGATCTGAGTCGATCAAAGAAGGCGAAATCGACCGACGTGAATTTTTTAAGTAACGAGATAATGATAAAACACGAAAACGTCGATGAGGCAGAGGACAATGATATTACGGAAGAAGAAAATTCCACATCAAGCGAAGAAACGCCAAACTGCGAGGAACAACGGCTTTCAACACAAAACGTTATTCCCGGAAAAAATATAAATGAACAGCAAAACAGTTTAAGCTTCAAGGAGAAAGATAAATTTTTCGAAAAAGGTATCATATACAGGTCGCCCTAGTAAGGGCAACGAGGTACGATATTATGGACACTCGAGGTTCTCAAATGGTCACCAGGGGGAGTAATTGTTATCTTAAATTGAACTGACGTGGCTCTTACTTGATGAAAATCCATTTATCAAAATAAATAAGAACTAGAAGTTCAGATTTTCATGAAATTATATATTTTTACATGACAATCGTGTCTTTATCAAATGTTAGCAAACTTGGATCCCCAGAGTAACGATTGAGCAGGTGAAAAGGAAAGCAGTGTTAGATTTTTCAAAAATAAATGAAAGCTACTTCGCATCCTTATAATTCTAAAACGGCATCGATTGTAAATTTAATGTATCATGCACATTTTGTATTTTGTAAATAGTTTAGTAGTTTTTTTTTTAATTTGCCAAATTTTCAAGATTTCCTGACGTAGAGAAATTTTATTTTTGCCGGTTCAGCTATACGTTCACTAGTTTTGAAATAACCGTTGTGTGGCCGTTTAATTTTTCTCTTTTCCATTGCTTTTAGATGGTGACAGATATTTTAAAAATCGCGATGCCTCAGTCCAAACGTGCCGCCAAAATTCCAATGAGCACGTTCCAGAGGGGCTAATCCAGATCAGCTCATCATTAATGACAGTTTCTAGGGCAATAAATAGATACTGCGACCTGTTGCAGAAGAGATTTTTATAAACTTTTTGTTTATGAAGTGTTTATTTAACTTTGGTATTTTATGCTTGATTATTATTCTTAGTTGTTCCAAAATACTTTCCCGCATTCAATAAAACTTAGTTGATATATTCTCTTTCAAAACTTACACTAAACATATTATTTTAGTTTAGTTTAACTCAATTTTTTCAAAGTCGAGATAAATGTCGTCTCTAGCAGTAGTAAGGAAAACAGGTTTGATCGCAAGAGGGGTCGCCGTTTGTGCATTTAAAGTGACCTTGAAGTTTCTCAATATGGAAGCAAGTCCAATCTTACTTTGCAGCATGCCAAACCTCAATCCTAAGAAAACAGACAACGTATTATTAAATATCTAATTAAAAATGTAACAACATACCAATACATTGTCTAGGACCTTCTCCGAACGGCAGATACACGGGGTTGGATTTGAGGGCCTGGTTTTGTTCGCTGAATCGGTCTGGATCATATCGTTCTGGATCCGGATAAATGTTCGGATCCCAATGTAAACCAGCAACTGGTATCCAAACCCTGGTACCTGCCTCAAGCACCAAGTCGCTATCTGGAATCTTGTAACGTTTGGTCGATATTCTGGGCAGTATCGGCAATACTGGGTATTTTCTCATAGCCTCTGTCCAGAAACAAAATGATCATCTAACTACGTAACATTCGATGGAACGGATTGCCAACATTATACATAAAGGAGACCGGACGTTTCATTGATAAAATGAGAACAATTTACAAAATCTCAACTTTTATAGTCTGAACCAACCATTAATAGTGACCAACGGTGCTTATTCCGTGATTTTCTTTTTACAGAGGATGAATTTCTCATTAAGCAGATTCAGGCGTTCTCAAAAGGTCAGTTGCTAAATTCGTTTTGATACACAAACTCGAATTGAAATAATTAAGAAAAATAATAAATATATCTCATACACGTTGTTATTAATTATAATGGGAGGTAACAGTAATAAGCAGATTGTTTGTATTGTTTTTCATTTTTTTAATTGTTTTTCAGGAGTAAATAATTTGTTACAGGGTTGGGAAATAATTTTAATCCTTTAACCTTATTTGAACAAAGTAGTTGTGGAATTTTTGATATTTCCGGGGTGACAACCTTGTATGTAATCTATTCATAATTTCACACGGTTACAGTCATTTATAACCAGTTTCAGAATAAGGGCCGTACGATACGATACGTTTGATATTAAGGACTTACAAATTTGGGAAAAAAATAGGCCAAGAGAAAATAATGGAAATTATTTTGAACTATCTAAAATGGTTTCCATAAGGCTTAGTTGTTATATTGAATTTTGCAACTTCAACTTCTATATCATTAGATAGTAAAATAAAGACCACCTTGAGAAAACAGCATTTTATTACTTAAATAAATCAATTATTAATAAAATGTGCCACAACCGAGTTAGCGGTTAATAATAAATATTTAAGAAGCTAAGCATGTCAATATCTGTCATGTACCGGTGTAATTAGTGCCCTATGAACATATTAAAGAAGATAATAAAGAGAAATAATAACAGGTTTTTTTTGGTAGTCACCTGTTCATTTAGTTTCTTTTTCTTTTTCAAATCTAAATTAATGAGAATTTAAGCCTTTTTTAAACTTCACTAGAATACTAAATATTCTGCTAAGTTCTAACCATTAATTGCTGTTAAAAAGTTAAATATTTTGAAAGCTCTTTAACTAATTAATTTAATAAAATAAAATCAAATATTAAAAAATAATTAAATAATAATTTATTCAAATATTTAAAGAACATTCTATTTTGATCACCAAATGATAAAGTTTAAATCATTTCATTTATATAAGTAAGGAAGAGAAAGATTAAATACTAATTAGTTAACTACTTTTTTCGGCTGCTAAATTTATCTAATTTTTCTGGTAAATACAAACGTTTCTGGTTGGTACGTTTCATTTCGCATATGGGCTGCAATATGTTATTAAATTTTAAAGAAACGTCAATGCATTAAAAGTTTAGATGGTCCCGCATATTAATCAAAAATTTCTATTACAGCATGTCAGTTCTCCTTTTAATACGGGGAAGTGAAAATTACCATTGATTGCGTTTTCCAAATATGTCATCTCTTGAATAGATTCATATGTAATTTCACCGTTGTGGCCGTCCAATACTTTGTTGACAGTCTCTCTTACTTTGCTCTGTATTTCTTGATTGAGAGCTAATTCATACAAAGTGAAAGCCATAACGTTAGACGACGTCTCAAATCCTCCGGCGAAAAAGACGAAGCATTGAGCCGCTACCTCGTTCATACTCAAAAAGGATTCGCCAGACTTATTAGGTGAAGTAATCGTCTCGTCGTCAGTGACTTTTCCTAGATTCTTCAACTGTAGCATTAGCTGGAAAAAGTCTTTCCGAAATATTTGATTTTTCTCCCTGTACTCGGCGTTATTTATAACCATGTCAAGGAAGAATTTTTCGACATTGTGGTCCATGATTCGTATACCCAAAGAGGTGGCCACGCTTTGGGGAAATGCTTGCACCAAAGACGCTTTAATGGAATGAAACAGACTTCTCTCAAATATCTTTTTCCCAAACATCCTGAATTCGGAGTTGGGATCTTTCATACTGTTGCATTCGATACCGAATGCGCAGTTGCCTATTATATCCGTCGTGAACCTCGCGAGCACATCTTTGATCTCTATTGGTTCTCGGGATACCGCATGTTCTTCAATAATGTTCTTCAGTCCGGCCGCACAAGACATAACTGTTGGGAACATCATCTTCATTTTTCCTTAAACATTTACAATCAATTCGCTTTAATTTATAATAGGTCAGTTTAGTGCTTTTCCTAAATTTTCGAAAAAAAGTTTTATTATGAACACTTTCTTTAATATTCTTGTTTAATTTTGTTTCCCATCGGAAAATTCGTTAATTTATCATGGAAAAGATATTAAACAGCGAAAATTTCAAAATTTTGTGTGGGACAAAAATATTTTTGAGATGTCAATATACCGGGAGTCACTTTTTTTAACTCCTCATATATTATTTATTATCCTTGAAGAAGTCTTATTTTATATACAGAGTGAATCATAAGGAATGCTACATTTTGGGATGGAAGGAATGGAGATGGAAGCCGTTCAAATTTAAATTTTATTCTGACTTACTTGAGAAACTGTATGTAATGTATGGTTTCTGATATGACATTACCATTTTGAAACGAATCATATTTTATATCTGTCGAGATATTGTTGAGAATCTGAAAGAATATTCAATTTTTCAGGTCTAACTCTGTCGGGTTTTGAGTTATTTTTATTTAAAAAGTTGATAGTACTTTTTGTGTTTTTTTTTTTATAAATACTTAAAATGTAAAAGCAATAATAATTTTGGCAATAGTAATAGTAATTCAAATGTTAGAATTGAGCACTATTATTTCATTTAGGGCGAAATGACTCAATTTCACCTAAATGGTTGTAAGAATTTCTAGAAAGTTGAAGATAGGTTGCCTTCGATTTGGGCATAGTTGTGTTTGGGATGTCACAGGTCCAAAATTTGCTTGAGCAAAAGCATAAATAATATCAAGCTTCTGATATGAAAAAAAATATCATGTCGCAGCAGTTTGTAATTTTCTTGAATATTTTCGAAATTTTGATTACTTTTGGTTATTTTTTCTTCCATATTTTCTATCGAAAGTCGAACTTCGAAGTTTTTTTCAGTTAGTTGGAAATCGAATATAATCCGCCATATTTGACGTTTTTTTCTTTAAAATAATTGTAAATATGTCGAGAGTCGCCAAAAAGCATGTGCGTAGAACTGAGTTGTTGTACGTTGTGTCCTCTCCTCGTCCATTTTACAAAAAATTTTGTGTCACATTGGATTTATTTACCATATATCAAAAAACTTTTACTTTCTTTGACAAACAATTAGAATGAATTGCGGTAACTGGTTCTATAGTGAGTAAATGTAATCATGTAAAATTAGCGTTTTTTTTGCACAAATTATAAAAATAATAAAATAAAAAAAAAAATAAATAAAATAAAAATAATAAATTAAATTATAACAAAAAATCGGGATACCATTATTGCGGCATCTAGCAATTTATCAATTAGGGCTATTAAGCTTGTCACCCATTTTTGTAACAAAAATTAAAATTCTCCGTTTGTTATGTGTCGTTTAATTAGTAGTTGTCAATAGTAAAAACGAATTAATCGAAAATGAGTGAAAGAAACTGTGAAATTCCAAAACCACTGCGAAATATTGTTTTGGACCGATGGACACAACTGCTATAACTTACCGTAAAACATGTCTACCAATTCACTACATCGAAAAGCAATTTAACATCACATTCGTAAAAAATAAAGGCCTGTCGGTGCCACGAAGGGATAATTTCTTAAAGGTGGTCAAACCGTGAGAAGAAGTTTAAACAAAGCTGGGCGCAATAGTCAAAAAAACATTTGATTTTTAAACAAGAATTGGATTTTGCGAAAAAGTATGGCCCCACGATAGGACATGATGAATCCAGCGTCTTAATTTCGGATGCATGTCAGCATCTTCTATGCGAATCTCACTTTTATAGATGGCATCAGGGATCACCTTGTTGGTAATGATCCAAAACATACGGATGCACTGACAAAGGAATAATTAACACCAACACTTAATCTTATTTTTTTAGGAGGACAAAAAAACTTAATAAAACTTAAATTACATCGCGCTAATTAGTTTTTTCTTTCTGAGATTTTTTCTTTAGATTTTGAAAAATTAGTTTTGTATTACTGAGTGATTTCGATTTTTCTTGAGTACCTACTAAAGCCTTGTTTTAGTATGTTTAGTTTGCAAGTTCTGTTTCAGCGATGCCGCGACCTGAGTTGTGAACCATAAAGCTGAATACAGAGGAACAGGGTAAAGCCACACCACTTGAAATTAGGCAGGGTTGTAATCTCTGGTCTCTTTCCGCTGATGTAGAATAGCAAGGCAAGACAATTTTTTATCAAAATGTCAAAACATTTTAAAAGTCGCAATTTAAACCTTAATAATCATTAGACGTTACTTTCTTTTGACGCTCTTCTACTCAATAGAGTCATGGACGTTGACGAACAGTGTGTCTGAGAAATCAGTATTGGAAAGAATGAACAAAGGAAGGAAAGTGATAAATACTATAAATAGAAGAAAACTTGAATATCTGACGCGTAGGATATCATGAAAGAAGTTGCAGCCGGAAACAAGATCACTTTAACAAGAATAATCGCCAATATTTGAAATGAATAGGCACTTGAAAAAGACGGAAAAGAAGACGAGTTCATCATTATCCTCAAACATGTAAAAAAGTTATAAGGAAGCTTGACAAATATTTTGTCAATTTGGCATTTCAACTTCGCCTAACCCAATAATCCACAGTCATCGAATTCTCACTCTTTTTTTAAAGTGTATACTTTATGTGTAGTTACTACTTTTGAATTTGAACTACCCCTATCATATGCCGATATCTAAAGTTAGGCAACAACTGCGTATCCCTCCTCAGTCATATTCAAATGGATAAGATAATATTCCAATATTGTTCACTACAAAACTGATTCATATTATGTCGAACGGGCTCAGAACTAATGGAGGGCAAGGGCAACCTAATATTTAAAAGACGTTTTACAAACACAAATATTCTATGCATTTCATCCACTTCATAAATTACTAAATGAGTGTCATCATGTAATTATTAAAATTAACCTGACGTAAATGTCGGAGTAAGTTTTTGCCTCATCGCTTTCCATCGGGCTCCTTCCAGGTTAAACAAGTTGGCAGATAGTGGCTCTAGCTGCTCGTTGTGCTGCAATCCGTGATCCATAAAATAATCGAAGTCTTTGACCAGTACGTGTTTCACTAATTCAGGATCAACAGTGAAAAATATTTTCCTGGAAATCGAATACAGTCCACCATATCTGACGTTTTTTTCTTTAAAATAATTGTAAATATGTCGAGAATAATCGAATAACGGCTGCGTTTGGAATATGATGGGTTTGAAGTCGCCAAAAAGTATGTGCGTAGAACTGAGTTGTTGTACGTTGTGTCTTCTCCAATAATTCCTCGTCCATTTTACGTAAATCACGACGAGAATAACCAATATGATGGCTAAGATTACGAACATTGTCGTAAATGATCTGAAACAGACATCACAGTTTTTTTACAGTACTCTCATAAGGATTAAAGGATTGGGATGGTCCCCGACCCTTATCCTTGATCTCGATAGAATGAAAGTCAATCAATATTGTTAACGCCTTATTTTTCATTTATATGGTGTTAAGCCTACAACAATACATACTAAATATATTGAAAACGTGCGTTTTGGGCCCAGTGTTCGAAGTGTTTTCGGAGCGCGAGCATTGAAGATGCAAAGTGAGATTTTGGCGAAACGTCTCCAGGATTCCAGTCGGATGCAGGATTCCAGTCGGAGTTCAACAAGCGAACGGATGATATCCCGGAATATAGTTTAGTATAGTATATATATACATATATATATATATACATATATATATATATATATATATATATATATATATATATATATATATATATATATATATATATATATATATATATATATATATGTATATATCTGATTTTATCCATTAGGAACTGCGGTGCATCGATTATTTTCAAAACCAAAAAATTCAAAGGGGTCCTAACTTTACTGATGAACCCATTCAAAATATAAAAAACATGCCAAAAGAGATAATAAACTTCACATTCTTTAGATCGACATCTGAAATATTGGTCAACTTTACCCAAATGATTGTCAAGAACATTTCTCTTCGTAAATTGATTAAATCAAACATAACTAACTCATTTTAGTGAGAACGCAATGGGAAGACCTTTTTCGTTTTTCCGTCATCGAAAAAAGTTAAAAGTTCAAGACTATTACAACATAAGTAATCAGTAATCACCGATTGGCTAGGAATATTTGACGCCAGTGCTGTGCGTTCTCCGCTTTTTATCCCGTTCCCTTTTGTTAAAAATGCGCTTCAGTTTTATTCCCTGAAAGTTCTCTTAAGTTGTTTTGAAACAAGATACCGGTTAAATGTCATTTTCTCCTGGCAGTTTCTTGCAATTTAAATTTAAACTTTGGGATCGATAATTATATTATTAGTTTGGAAGAATATTTTGCAATTAACGTCAACAGAAATGCTCTTGTCCGAAGTCAGCTCTTATTATTGTCAAAACAAAGATTTCTATGGTTTTTTCGTTTGACCAAACTAGTTTTCGGGCAGCTTCTCAATTTTAGACCTAAAAGTTGGCAAAAGCTTTTTTTTATCTAGACTGAGACATTTATTAAATTTTGATAAATTAACGTTGATTTTTTTATAATTAAACAATTGCATTTAAGCACACTGTCCGCGTATTGACATTAAAATTGAAATCTCTCTCTAAATAATTATCATTTTCAAACATCGAATGGCTTAACGTCAAGGTCAAGACACGCAGTTCAAAAATTTAGAAAATTTTGAATTTTGAGGGAACTGATTGGCCGTAATGGATTCAGTTGAACAGGATGCGCAGTTAGATATATCACTGAATTACAAAAATACGAAATCGCGTAACGCTAAGCTAAAGGAAATCATATATGTATATATGATTAAATTAAAAAAAGATTTTGCTGGACCTCGAAGGGCTTCGAAATTGTTATGTCTTGTGATCTAATGTACTTCCCAACGACAGTTAGAAGAATTTTCATCTCGCCACCCTTTAGATAAAATTTTATTTTTTTAGAGAACGCCGTGATTATTAATATGGTGAACTTGGTGAACGTTGGTGAACCAGGAAAATTGACTAAAAGAAATTAATTTTAAAAGTAATTGATAACTTTTTAAAAATAAAAAAAGTTCGAGGCTGCAAAAAAAAATGGTGTTGGAGTTTTCTGAAGCGTCTTTGCAGACAAAACGCAGACGCCTGCAACAAGACTTGTTAAAAAAAAACAGAAGACAAAGTTTGTTCAGTGGCTGACATGAAGTTACGGGAAAATAAAGATCGCCAATCTGCAAATATACTGAAAAAAATAAGATGTTTACCGAATAGCGCAACTCGCCTTAAGCAGATAGAGTACAAGTAGGAAAAGCATTAGCTAGTGGTATTTTCGCCAGAAAGGGCATTAGCTTTATTTGTAAGTTTTAAATTTACTCGCCACCAATATCTAGGTATTAAGGGATTTAGTTGTTAATAAAGGATTAATATGTTTGTTTCCTACATATATCAAAAGTATGGAAATGCTAAAGTTAAAGTACCATTACAAAACTTATTAGATCAGCATCAATTCTGTTGGAAGTAGAAGGCAAAGCAAATATGCGCCGGAGATAATTCAAATATACTAGCCACATTTGTGCTTCCTTTACAGTTACTTTAGTTAATTTACTCACAAACCACAAGTCTCAATGAAAATTTAATTTATTCATTTAGCGCCATATTAAGACACATTTTCTCATATATAGGTATTTAAAAAACTGTTTTTAAAAAAAGAGCAGATTTTAACCGTTTTTAGCTTTTTTATTTAGGTTTCTGCCTGTTTTTAAGCGTTATTTTGCACACACATTAACGCTCTATATAGCAGGATATTATTTTATGGCATAATTATTACGGTATAGTTGTATTCACTAATTTTGTTATAAAAAGTGTCTATTACTATCAGAAATTCGAAATGATTGCATCATATTACAAAATTATTTGTAAATAGCTAATTTAATGTCAGCAGTTGGCATTTATAAAAATAGATTAATGAAAGGTGCTTTTTTTTACAACCATGGAGAGATAGGGTTCACAACCTCCCATTTAAGACTAACCTTAGCAACGAACTCATTTTATTTGGTACCAACAAGACAGCGAATGTTAGCAAATATCTCCAACACATGTTCCGTGAAAATGCTATCAACATATATTCTTATCTTTTGTGACCTGCTAAATCCCCTGACCTTATCCTTTTTGATTACTTTCTGTGGGGCTACTTGAAACAAAAACTTTACCACAAAGAGCCGTTTAATTTCAGAAAGAAGCCAGTAAATTTCACCAGAAGTGATAGGGAATATAATATGTCAATTGGCCAATGTAACCAATACATGCATTGAACAAGATGGTGAACATTTATTTTTCTTATTTATTTATTTATTTGCAATACTAACGTATAACAAAAATCCATAACAAGTATCCGCTATTAGCTTCAATATGCTTAAATTAAACTTAACCAAAATAGGAAGAAAATAATGTGGAAGTACAGCTATCAATACGAAAGAAAAACTTAACAATTTAGACTTAAGTTAAATATATCTATATTGTTGCATGCTCGTTATAAAGTCTTGCCATTTTCACTAAAACAGAATTTAGTCCTGAGTTTGTTGATCTGTAATGAAAAAGGTTTGCTGATGGCGCTGTCGTTGAAGAAACCAAAAACTTCCGCTTGATAAAAGCTATGAACTGTTTATCAAACCGTAAAGTAACTGCAAGAAAAGAAGAGTCATAATCACCATTTGTGTTTTTTGTGAGAGATATGTTAAATAATTACTTTGTACGTTTTCTAAATATTCAATATATGTTTGATAACGCGAGTTCCGGAGAGAAGAGTGAGAGCTGAGTTTGCTTAGAATGAATGAGATATGGAGCGTTGACAGAGCCCTATCAGGCGCAAAAACTTTTGATTGCCTGATATTGAGTTTGTTACAATATTATTAATATTGTCGTCATAAATCATTTTTGAGTCCATCTATTATTTTGTTATTACTAAAAGAGTGAGTTATCATTTACCTATTCGTACTTGACTTATTAGTACCTAGTCTCAAAATATAGTTGCTAATTATAATCTAGCGAATAAGGGATTTGTCAACCAATTACTTATATACCTGAATTTGTTTTATTTTTATAAATATAAATAAAAAATTATATCCATTTTAGTATGTCCATTCTTTAAAACATATAAAAATAATTATCCATTGTGTACTCCAGTGATCCATTGTTTACTTAGGGGTGAGCCATTGTACACTAACCTTAGTACACAATGGATCATTTGCAAACTTAAAAAAAAATGGTCGTCATGATGCAACCAACCTATTATGTCAAAAAGTAATTGTGGGTAATTAAAGTAGTGGAGCGATAGTTTGTTGAAAATAAAATGAAAAGTTATAACTTTCATAACTTTTGTGCTACAGCGTGTCAAACAAAAGTTGATCCATTGTTGCCACCTTGACCCTATATATATATATATATATATATATATATATATATATATATATATATATATATATATATATATATATATATATATATATATATATATATATATATATATATATATATATATATATATATATATATATATATATATATATATATATATATATATATATATATATATATATATATATATATATATATATATATATATATATATATATATATATATATATATATATATATATATATATATATATATATATATATATATTACACGACCATCGTTTCCGGACCAGATACATGCCACAGGCAAACTCAGACCACCTAGTAATATAGTAATAAATAAGGAAATGGAGTATATAAGATGAAAAAATACTCTAAATGACTATAACTTCTTAAGCGGAAAATAAAACCAAACAAAGTTGAACTCCTTTTTCAGACCGTTCTTTACACAAATTCACATATTGCACCGACGTTACCGAACCACGCGCAGTTGCCACATAGTTTTGTTCAAGTGTGGCGCGATAAAAGTGTAGTGAAGTACACTTCTCTTCAAATTGTAGAAGAGAATAGATTCTAAATGACATATTAAAAATATATATTTATTGTGTCATGGCGTATTTTTTTCTTTATATTTAGTTATAAAGACTGATAGGGGTACTGTAATTCAATCTCTCTCAAAATGTGCCACTTTATAATGGTTATGCATTCATAATATTTTATTGTTCTATCTATTTCTTTTCCGTCATATTTGTAGCGGGATAAACCTTAATAGTTATTTTTTGCCCTAACGTTTATATAGCATAGTACTTTTGTTCAGCAAGGAATCACCCCCGAGTTTTTCGCATTGATTATTTAAACACCCTCTGTTGCATTATGTCAACAGTTTTTAGAGTTTATATTTAAAACAAATGGTATTAGACATATCAATGGCATCTTAATAAAACTG